CTCCGGAGATATCGCCTTATTTCTATTGGTGCTGTGTCTGATGTTGCATGTTTTCTGTCTTCATTCTCTTTTGCATTTACCTTTTCTGGATCAGTGTTCTCAGGATTGGGGACTGAGGACCCTTTCCTTTTACTCCTTCTTCCCATTTTTGGTGTTCCTTCTATACAAGCATATATATATCTGTATAAGCCCAGTTTTTTTGTCAGTTACAGTTTGTTTGAATTGTGCTGGCTAGGTGTTCCCGCCCCCTGAAGTATACTATGGAGACACAGACTGGGCAGCCTCTGCTGGGCCCGCCCCTCCAGGTCAACCTAGTGAAGGCTTCACCGCTGGGGTGCACCACCAGGCACTGGGACCTGGTTTCTGCTGGCCTACTGGGTCTTAGCAGCATCACCCAGGCCAAACGCTCCGCTCCAATCTGCTTGAGAGGGGAATATGCAACGTCTTATTCTGGCTAGTCTGTCCAGCCCCGGAATGTCCTCTTTTGGAGCCTCCTAGTCTATGGAAGGGTCCCTGTTCCTCACTGCAGGTCGATGCAGTGAGTTAGTCCTGCTCTCAACTCCATTCCCCGATTTCTGCTCTAAGAGCTTTTGTGTGTCTCTCTCACTGTTGTGTGGATTTGGACGCAGTGACAGCATGAAATTCAAATCGTGGCTTCCAGAGGCACGGGTTCCAGCTTCCATGCTGAGATTTTATCTGTTCCAGTGAGTGCACTGGGATTGCATTTCCAATTGGTTTCTCTCAGCTTAGTTCATTCCTGGGTTAGCAAGGGTATATCTCCCCTTGCTTAGGACTCCTTACACTGCACCATTCCTGGATTTTAAGCTGGGTATCTCAGAGAGCCTCTGTAGCTGCTGTTATCTGTCTGCCATGTTCTCCCAGAATCGATCCCAGTGATTGATTGAACGTATTTTTTAATCCATTCCTCCATTGATGGGCATTTGGGATGTTTCTAAGATTTAGCTACTAAAAATTGTGTGGCTATAAATGTGGGTTCATGTATATCTCTTGGTATGATGTTTTTCATTGTTCTGGGAAAACATCCAGAAGGGTAATATCTGGGTCAAGTGGGACATCTTATCCAAGTTGTTTGAGAAATTTCCACACTGATTTGTCACAGTGGTTGCACCTGTCTGCACTCCCACCAACAGTGGAGAATGGTTCTTTTTTCTCCACATCTTTTCCAGCAGTTGTTACTGCTTGATTTCTTTTTTTTTTTTTTTTTTTTTTTTTTTTTTTGTGCTGACTATGGCTCTGAACCACTTGATTTCTTGATGATAGCCATTCTTTCTGAGGGTGAGATAGAATCTCAGAGTTATTTTAATTTGTATTTCTTGAATGACCATTGATGGTGAACAATTTTTCATATATTTATGTGCTATTTGTATTTCTTCATCTGAGATGCACATTATTCATCTTAGATGCCCATTTGTGGATTAGGCTTTGAATTTGGGGGATATGTTTTTTTTTTTTGAATTCTTAATATGTTTTACATACAAAGCTGTCTAAAGGACAGCTGGCTATCATTTTCTTCCACTCTGTGGGGTTATCTTTACTCTGTTGGTGATTTCTTTGGCTGTGCAAAAGCTTTTTAATAAGGTTAGATCCCATTTGTTCTTTGTAGTGTGGTCTCATGTGGTCGAGATTTTGTTCATAAAGTCTCTGCCTATACCTATATCTTCAAGATTTCTGCTTATTTTCTCTACTAGTAGATTTAGTGTTTCTGTTTTAATATTTAGATCTTTTTTTCCATTTTGACTTGAGCACACAGTGAATGATGTGGGTCTAGTTTTAGTCTTTGGATCTAGTTTTTTAAGCATCATTTATTAAAGAGGTTGTCTTTCTTCCAGTGAATATGTTTGGCACTTTTGTCAATGATCATAAGGTGACTGAGTATATCTGGAGTTGTTTTTGCATCTTCTGTTCTATTCCACTGATCCTCAGGTTTGTTTTTTGCTAATACATACTGATTTTATCACAGTGGCTTTATAGAATAGTTTCAGATCAGGTATTGTGCCTGACTTGCCTCTTTGCCCAAAATTCTTAATGTTCATTTGATTTTTCATGTCAGTTAATTGTATTGATCAACTGAATGTTGATGCATATGTATTTTGATATTTTTTTCTTCTTGGAGCCTTCCCTTGACAAGTATGTAGTGTCCCTCTTTGTCTCTCTCCCTCAGTCCTGGTTTGAAGTTCACATTTTCTGTGAATAGAATAGCTATCTCTGCTTTTTTCTGGGATTCTTTTGCTTGAAGTATTGTCTTCTGTCCTTTGAGTTTCAGTCTGTGAGTTTCTTTTTGAGGTAAATGTGTTACTAAAATGCAGCATACTATTGGATTTTGTTTCTTAATCCATCCTGCCAGTCTGTTTCTTTTGGTGAATCTGTGTTTGTTGATGTTTACAATTGATATGTATTGGCTTATTTTTTCCATGTTGCTTTCCTATTGTTGGCTTCCTGTCTTTCCCCTCTGCTTTATTGTTTGCCCTTGGTGACTTTCTATTAGTGTTCTTATGGTCATGCTCTTCATTTTCTTTTTCTAATGTATGCTTTTAAGAGTATTCTAAATCACTAGTTTGGGCATCATGAATATCCTCAGGTGTTCCTTGTCATGCAAGTATCATCAATTTTCAAAGATAGTTTTGCAGGGTACATAAATCTAGGTAGAAGGTTGTTTTCTTTGAGAGCTTGAAATATCTCACTCCAGGCTCTCCTTTATTTGAGGATTTGTGTTGAGAAATCTGCTATAATTCTATTGGGCTTTTCTTTATAGATGATTTGTTTCTTTTCTTTGTATTTAATATTTTGTTCTTGTGCAGAATTTCAGGAATATTGATTATTATATGTTTTAGAGTAGTTTTACTTTGTTCATGGCTATTTGGACTTCCATGTGCTTCATTTATTTGTATGTCAAATTCTTTATGCATGCTTGGAAAGTTTTCTACCATTGTGTTATGGATTAAGAACTTGTGGTCAACTTAATGCCAGCTGGATTACAACAGCATGGAATTGAGCGAAGATGCTCCACCTGAGGAAAGTTGCCAGCATAAATAGGTGGAGAAGAAGGGAGGTGTTGAGGGTTGAGGCGTTAAGGAGGTATTGTGGGTTCTCCCACAAGTTGCTGTCTGAGCTGTTGGTTCTGGAGAATCTTTGGTCTTCGCACTGAGCTTTGCTTCCTGGCTCCGAAGGGGAAGACGCGTGCTGCTTGGTTTCCAGGATGAACTCGTCTCGCTGCTTCCTGGCACGACCCACCTGTGCTTGTTGTAGGAGGAGCTCAGGGCCTCTGTGTCGCTGAGGACAGCTGTGGTGCCTTTCAGGATAGCCCTGGTCTTTGTTGTGAGTGTGACTTGTCAGCTCCAGCGTAGAACCCTCATCCCACTAGCACAGCTCCTTTATCCTGCTGGTATAGACTTTCTGGCTTCCACTTGTGACCCTTGGGTCTTCCTGGCATGGATCCATAAAAGAGACTGGCATGAGTCCTTCTTGTGGGCTTTGGACCTCCAGTTGGACTCGTGGGAGGCATTGTCCTGAGCTCTGGGTTTTTATTTGGACTTATGTGGCACATTGCCATGGGGTTCAGGCTCTTGACTAAATAATCTATGTCTTTGGTGTTGCAGATGGATTTCCTGCATTTTCCTGTGTTAACTCCCATTGACCATTATAAAAATATTACAGACTCCATGTCCTATTCCTAGTTGTTTTCTGTGTACAACCCCTGACTACAACACATTTGTTTCTGTGAAGAGTTTTTTTTTAATGGTATTTGTGCTGTCTACTTTCTCTTGACTCCAGTCAATCTTATGTTACTCTTCTTTGCTTCATCTTGTTGCTGTTAGATTGATTTTTCATGGTCTCATGATATATATATATATATATATATATATATTTTTTATCAGTACTAGGGATCGAACTCACAACCACCTGCTTGCAAGGCAGGTACTCATGCCGCTGAGCTAAATCCCCAGCCCACGTCCCATGCTATTTTTAATATATCTTTCTTTTCCTGATCATTAGCTGCAATTCTTTTATCAGGATCCACAAAATACAAAACGAAAGAAAATGAAGGCCAATCGGACAGGAAAAGGATAACCAATCAGACAAACAAGGGAGATTAAAATACTTCTGTAATATCATATACAGTTCTGTGATATTGTTCCCTTCAGATCTCAGAAATGTGCTGTCCACTCCAGCCAGTTTGACATGGGATTTGTGTTGGGTATAGAACTGACCTTAGCATCTGGTTGTAGGGGCAGGGATAAGTCTTCAGTTGGTGGATTCTCCAGCTCTCACTGGTTTGCTCCTTGCTGCTGTTTCAGACACTTCCACATTGCTGATCTTGCTGATTACTACATCCACCAAAGGCTGTGTGCACCTGCTTGTCTAGGAGGCTATCTGGCCTGGAGTCTTGGGTGGTCTGGTATTTTGCCCTCCAAAGGCATGTGTTCCCATTCGCCCAAGGTGCCGCCTATTCAGGGGTCTCGGTGCTTTTAGGTTTGAGTTTTATTTTCCATTGGATTTTACGGTATTGCTGCACAATGCAGTGTTAGCTAAATAATGAGTTACTTGAATTACAGTGATACCTTGGTTCAGGAATTTAAATCTTTCCATGTTTCAGGTTGCAAATTGAATTGAATGAGAACTGAATCAAATTCAGTGGTTAGGTTCAATGATGATTATATGGGGAAATTTGATGCAATTCTTGTCCAATTCAGTTTGTGACCAGAATTATGGAAAAATTAAGTTTGTGAACCAAGAGATTATTGTATTTTCTCTTTTAGGGTGACTGCAAAGTATAAGCATGGATAAAATCACAGCATTTTATTTGTCATCTTTAGAAAGAGAACACTAATCCTTATTATACCCAGTTTTTAGCTTGCTATGAAAATCAGATTAGATATCATGAAAAAGTAAAATGTTTGAAATGACAATATACTTATAATGTAAGAAGTTATACTATTGCATGTTTCTTACATTTTTTGCCTTTTTTCTCTTAAATTCAGCTTTCCACAGGCTACAAATCAAACATTACTAGACAAGTTTAAGCATCAACATGAAGAAAATTCTTACATTGAATTTCCAGCTGTGATGGAGCCTGCTTTCATCATAAAACATTATGCTGGAAAAGTAAAATATGGGGTAAAGGTCAGTGAATTTCTCATTTGATATGTTTTCACGGGAAGGGTGTTCTTGACCATGTCACTGTCCTTTGTACACTTGTCGTATTTTCTCTGTAGTTTTTGGAGGTTCTTGGTCAATAAAATTTGAAGATATTTTATAAGGTTACTACTAAATTTTAAGATTCACTTTTCAGTACATTGCTTTCTTAAGTAATGTTTTTGTTCACTTCCTTTTTGCAGATTAAAATCTGATTAAGTTCATTCTAATAACTTTCAATCTGAAAGAATAGATAATAGTGTATATCTCAAAGTCATTCATTTTTCCACATAATTTTGTGAATTTTCTCCCCTTTGTACCTGTAAGTTCTATCCTCATCATGCACTATTTAATATTTGTAAGCTTGCACTCCTAATGAAAGTATTCAAACTCCTAACTCCTGGTGAGGGGAGTCTTTATAATGTCCCCATTTCTTGTTGGTAATTGGTGATCTTATTACTCTTTTACCACTAGAAGTTTTAAGTCTACCTTAAATTTAAGATATTTAATTTCCTAGGCAAGTCATTGAAGAGATGAAGAATAGTGGAGCAATCTGTTTTTTCTTGAATCTTAGCTGTATTCACCCATTTACTGATTCATTTATTTAAGAAGTATTTATTGAACACAGACCATGTGTCAGACTGTGCTTGGTGCCTGGAATGATCTGGTAAAGAACTACATAGATGTGCTCCTGACTCTGTATGTGTGTACACACACACACACACACACACACACACACACACACACACACACACACAAATTAGCCGAGTATGGTGGCGTATGTCTATAAGGTATCTAGACATTTCTATAAAGTATAGTATCTAGAAATCTAAAAACATGAAGAGCCATCTCACCTGGAAAATGAAAGTCATTGGTTGCTGTCAACACTTCACAGTGGTCATGGAAAGAATTTTAGTTGTTAATAGAATGGGATCATCTTTGGAGTTGGGCAGATTAGTGTTTCATTTTCTGCACTGGTACTTTTCTTTTTGTCTTTTGTTAGAGCATTTTCCTTTCTACTTACCAATGTATTATGTTTGAATCTGCTTTGTTAATGTTTGAATAAAATACAATATGTTATATAAGTTAATGTCTGACACTGCATTAGTGCCTGACAAAATACAGTATGTTATATAAGTTAATGTCTTACACTGCATTAGTGCCTGACATCTCTTAAGTTTTAACTAATAATTACATACTGGCAGTGGTGATCTGGGTTTGAAAACTGTTACTGAAGTTACATATACATATACATATACATATACATATACATATACATATACATATACATATATATATACATATACATATGAAAGAGAGAGAGAGAGAGAGAGAGAGAGAGAGAGAGAGAGAGAGAGAGAGACAGAGGCATACTTAGTCTCTCCACTAAGGAGATTTAGAGATGAGCCAAGGATTAAGACTCCTGGCCTGTTTCTCTTTCCCTTTGTTTTCAGAACAAATAAGAATTAGAAAAGGAAAGCCTTAAGGTAATAGAGTCCCTGCTGACTTCTGTTCGTAGGGCTCCACGACACATTAGCAGTGCTCCTCATGGAATTCTGAATTAGAGATATTCTGTGAAACCGAACCAACTCAGAATGATATACTCTATCACCTTTGTATTGACAGGATAAAATCACTGACATATGTAATTTAAAGGAGAGATGATTTATTTTGGCTCATGATTTTTGAAGTTTCAGCCCATGGTGAACAGGCTTCAAGGCATCCATGAAACAGAGAACAAGGGAGAACCAAAGAAGAAGGGGCCAGAGACCAAATACAGGTCTCACAGTCACATCTCCATGACCAGTCCAGACATCCCTAGAAGTGTGCTTTAATAATCTCCTAGGTGTCTCTTAGACCACAGTTGACAATCAAGATTGATCATCACATGTGCTCACTGCATCTTTAGTCTTTTCATTTAGTGTATACAGGTTTAAGATCATAATATTCAGACTATACAGAATACTATGAACTTTTATTCCTGGCTTACTAGCTTCCTGCCCTCCTTATATTTGTATGGAGTATTTTAATCTAGTTTCCTGTCTAACTTGTATATTTTGGCAAGGTGGGTATTCCCTTCTGTTTACAAGTCCTTAGGTTATTTTAACTAGCTTTAAAAATCTGTCTGCTAAGCCAGGTATACGGCACATGCTGATATTGCCCGCACTCAAGCTGAGGCAGGAAGATTGTCAATTTGAGCCAGCTTGGGGCCATAAAAGGAATTTAGAACTATCCTGGAAAATATAGAGACCCTGTCTGAAAACAAATAAACCCTCCAAAATTGTATGGTGATAACATTTAAATAGAAGATGTGACAGAAAAATGTGATATATGTTGAAATTAAAAAGTCAGTATTGTAAAAGACACATTGACTTTCTGTTTTTGGTTTTTTGAGACAGAACCTCACGGTGTAACTCTGGCTGGTCCTGAACCCATGGTGATCTTCTTTCAGCCTCCTGAGTATTGGGATTACTGTCATGTGCCACCATATCCAGGGATACATCAACTTTAAATTCCCTGAAATATGTCCCCTCGTTCACACCTATTCCACAATATGTGCCACTTTCTGAAGGTTTTTTGGGAGTTCCTTTTTGTGAATGTCTTTTTTAGTTAAACTATCATGACTGCCTTCATATCCTGAATCTATTAAAAATGTTTCCCTTTCATGGTCATCTTGACTATGAGGAAGAGCCACTAAGTTGCTCACTGCCTGATCTGGTGAATAAGGTAGCTGCGGGCATACTAAAATGTTTTTATGAGCATGCCTTTCTGTTGGATGGCACTCAGCAGCAGCAGCATTCACTATATTTCTGATCATTCCATAAATAGTATAGTAGTTGTTTGTAGCTTGTGTTTGACTCTTGTGCTTCTGCTTATTGTGTGATAGGGTTATAATGGTGTTAATCTAATTTCTGCATTTTCTTACCATACCCTAATTGATCAGAAAGTCTTTGTCATTACCTCCTAAATACACCCCAGATATGATAATTCTTTGCCATTTCCATTACTGCCTACCTACCCCATGCCACTGACAGATGTTTCTTCTCTGGTTAGTACAGTAACTATTTATGAACATTAGATGTTCATAAAATACCAGTTGACTACCATCATTATCTAGTTGCTTTCCTTTGCATTTGAAGTGTAACAAAACTGTTAAGGCAGTCTTACAAAGCCTAAGTGTGCTATTTGTTTGGCTAGTTTTCCACCACTCTCACATTTGACCACAATGCTCTGGTCCCTACCTTTATGATTTGCCTCTTAACTTGGCCAGCTTACTGCCACAAGGAGTAGCAGTGTGTTCCTTTGCTTGCAGTGCTCTTCCTGGTCTTCTCATGTTGGCTCATTTGGTTTTCCAGCCTTCTTACCATTTTCCATAATTTCTCTTTGGAAAAGCTGATCCTGATCATTATCTAACAAGCTATGATAAAATTGTGAACTATTCTAATGTATATATGTTCTAGAATTTAGGAGTTTTAGGTTTGGTTGGTACTTTATAGAAGACAGCTGTTGCATTTAGGTACTTAGTAGAGGGTCTACTTCTATCTTTATTCAGCCACAGATCAAACATGTCATCTGTCATGCTCTTGATATTACCAATTTTTCCCAAATAACTTTGGTACTTTTCTGACACAGGATTTCCGGGAAAAAAATACAGATCATATGCGTCCAGACATTGTAGCTCTTCTGCGAAGTAGCAAGAATGCATTTATCTCTGGAATGATTGGACTTGATCCTGTGGCTGTTTTCCGGTGGGCAGTTCTCCGAGCCTTTTTCAGAGCTATGGTTGCTTTCAGGGAAGCTGGGAAAAGACACATTCAGAGAAAAACTGGTAAGCAGTAGTTATCATTATTTTATCATGTCTTTTTTTATATCTTATCTACAAGGAATAGCATCATAATAATTTTTATTTTGTTCTGTTTTCATCCTATACTCTGACTTCATGTTTCAGAACTCATAAGTTTAGTGAATTTTGCTATTAAATATCCATGTGTTAGGGATTTATAGATATATTTTTATTAATAAATAGTGATAGAAATAATGAATATAAAGCACATGGTTCGTAGACAATAAGTGAGGGGAACTCTCCTTCAGTGTTGTATCTTCTGATTTTTGTGACTTGGAGCATTCTTTTCTGTAAAAGTCAGTATTGCTTTTTCAATTTATTTACTATCTGATTTAGTTACTTTAGTCAGATAACATAGGCAAAGCATGCTAAACATTAAATTTCTTTTTCTTACCCTTAGTTTATAGAATTTTCACTTCGAAATTTTGAAAAGGATATTTTTTCCCGCCATACTTTTTCCTCAAACCATGAGATATCGGGGCTGGGGATTTAGCTCAGTGGCATAAGCGCCTGCCTTGCAAGTGTGTGGTCGTGAGTTCGATCCCTGGTACCGATAAAAACAAAAAGACAAAAAAAAAAAAAAACCATGAGATATCCTATGTCCCATTGTGTGGGAGGACAATTTCATAATTGTGTGTGATCGATTGGAAATTGAACCATTATTTGCTGCATCTCTAGTTGTAGACAAAGAATTGAATACAAGTTTAAAATCAGTTTTGGATTTTTTTTTTTTTTTGGTCTTTTTGAGACAGCGTAGTTCAGGTTGGCCTTGAGCTCACTTTGTAGCCCAAGCTAGTCTCAGATTTGCAATGATCTTCCTGCCTCAGTTTTCCCGGTGCTGGAATTAGAGATGTGTGTCACCATACCCAGTTTAAAATCAGCTTTTAATCATTTGAAATGAGCCGGGGGTTTAGCTCAGTGGCATAAACACCTGCTTGGCAAGCGTGAAGTCATGAGTTTGATCCCTAGTACCAAAAAAAAATTGAAAAAGAATCATTCGAAATGAATAAATATACTTGGAAGATTCAAATTAAGCGTAGTTTGTGTTTTTCAGATTGTAATGTATGTGAAGTGGTCTTGATAGATCGGGATAACTATAATTTATTGAACAAACCAAAGAACTGTGTGAAATTTGGTTTGCCTTTTACAAAGTGATTCCTGAGAGGTTATGCTTTTTGTAACAGCTTTGTGGAGAATTTTTTGCCTTTAAGATGCTTTCTTATTTATCAAGATGCTTTCTTACTTATCATGACAGATTTATAGTAAAAACATTCAGAAGGAATAATATATTCTAAGATGTTACGAACCATCAAGAAAATCTTTTCTTCTATATACTATTTACAATGTCATTTTCTGTAATTCATAGTATTTATATGTTCTTTGGCATTTAAAATCCATTGTTTGTGCGAACTAGTTCTGTGTTCGTTATTATAAATTTAGAAGTAATGTATAGTGTTATTGTTGTGATAAAATTTATTCCTATTTAATAATTTGGTTTTTTTTCCTGAGTTGTGCAGAGCTTCCATATAACCATCTTTCTGCAAATTCTTTCATTTAGAATATGATGCACATATAGCAAATGCATAAAGCATGTATGGTTAGCTCAGTAAAGTATCACAATGAAAACACCTTTGGAATTACCACTTAGGAGGTAGCCTGTACCAATGCCCCAGAATTCTCCTTTGTATAAATGTTATAAACATTGTACTTTATTTAAAGGAAAAGAAAAATACAGATTAATTTGCATATTAAAACCTAACTGAAGATTTATTTCAGAAAACAGTTTTCTACTAACACATTTATGATGGGGCTGCTAATTTGTTTTTTGTTTTTGGGGTTTTTTTTTTGTGCCAGGAATTGAATGGGGCTATAATTTATGTGTGTTGCTGTTGGCTGACTCTGAATCACTGGTGGTACATGCAACAGTCTCATTGTGGCATTTGAGGCAGTGCTGTAGGGTGGTGACTGTTATGCGTGTGCCACCAGTAGTTCAAGCCAGCAAAACATGTTAAAGTATATTAGTGTCAGTGCCACAATTCGCCCTAGCATTTTGACTCCTCCCTCTCACTTTCTTTGGTGACTTTAGAATAAAAAGAAAGCATATAATTAGAACATTATAGCACTGCCAAATGAAAACTAACAGATTATCTGTTACAGTGAGTTTTGTTTGCAAGAAGTATACCGATACTAAAATGAAATACAAATAAGAGAGTCTTGATCTAACTCATGACCTCATGCTTGCCAGGCAGGTGCTTATGCTGCTGAGCTAAATCCCAGGCCTTTAGTAAAAGATTCTTTAAACAAACTCAAAATATGATAGGCAGAGGGTAACCAAGACCAGATCTGGAATGCAAATAAGATAACACTTCTAATGAAGAAAAATGATGCAGTATATTTTCCTTTCTTTTGAAAATTTATTTATAAAAATGTGCAATGGGACCCTTAGCTAATTATCAAGAAACATAATAACAGGGAACACAAAAATCCCACCCTCAAGAAATTTTCTAATGTTCTTTTCTCTTAAGTCAACTGAATACAACTGAGAAAATTGATTTAAACTGTACTTTTTTTGTTAGTTTGTCTTTTGTTCAGGCTTCCAAACTCATACGATTTTATTTAATGCTTTTAAATAAAATTTTTATTTTATTTTATTTCTGTTTGAGACAGAGTCTTCCTATGCATTTCAGGCTGGCCTTGAGCTTGCTTTGTAGTCCAGGCTAATCTCAAACTTGCAATGATCCTCCTGCCCCTGCCTTTCAAATGCTAGAATTATGGGTGTGTGCCACCATGCCCTGCTAATAAAAAATATTTTAATTAGTGTTTTGGAGACAAAATTTAGTATATTTAGTTGTAGAATGTATATTATGGTTCTTGGACTACTGTATTTGAAACCAGAAAATACTCATTTTTTAAAAAATACTAAGGAGAGTCTCATAAAGAGGCAGTTTCAAGGGATCTGCAAGTTGACTGTGCTAGGAGGTGAAATGAGAAGTTGTGATGATTTTTGCAGTGAGATAATGCAGAGCAGTTGCTCCAGTTGTATCATCCACCTTGCCTCTAATTTCCTAAACAAGTATGAGCCCAGAGTAGAGACCACCATTTAATGATCAAGCCAAAGATATAGGGAGGTCGTAATTTTGACCATGTATTGTATGACATGTAGAGCTGAGCAAAATGATTCTTTTCTTTGGTTGTATTGGAGTTACATAAAAATATAGGCAAATAGGAATTTTCAGGAGTCTAAAGGCACTAGGCAAACACAAAGAATTCAGCTGTGGTATTGGAAAAGAGGGGCCTAATACGAGGGCTCAGAATGTTACCCAATTTTTTTGATTAACAGAGAAACTAAAGCTATTCATGTAGTACCTACAGGTAGTGAGTTTAAAGGATCTTATGTCAGCCATTCCTCTTCATCATGCTTCTAGGTGAACTGCATAACTCTAATGTATGTACTTCCCTTGTTTCTGTGACAGAAGAAGTCTAGTGACCATCTGTCTTGAAAGATGACCAGATTGGAAAATTGACTTGGATGGATATCATTGTAGGTGCATGATCTCTGTGCAGTTTGTCCACAGTTTTACCTAACATTAAAGAGAAGTTAAACGTATATTTGTTAAAACAAAATCCTGACCTTTATTTTATTTTATTATTTTTTTTATACCCAGGATTGAACTCATGACTAGCACTTGCCAGGCAGGCGCTTATGCGGCTGAGCTAAATCCCTGTGGGCACCCCCCCACCCTTTATAAGTCACTTCAGTGTTGAACAGTATAGCATGGGAACTACGAGTTTTGGGTTAAGCAGTGCAACAAATGAGCTAAAGTTCTCCAAAAATTGTCTTCCATGGAAGACAGGTAACACTAAAGGTAATAGTTAGAATAATTTTGTCAGAATTGTGAAAAGTAATTAGAGGCTTAGAGTAACCTAGAAAGTTTTTTTTTTTTAATTTTATTTAAGGAGAAAAAGAAAAAAAAGCAGAAAAAGGGTACAAGTTATACAGAATTTCAGAAAAAAAATAAACAGTAGGAAATCACTAGTTAATGGATTATATATTGTCATCTTAGAAGTATTTGTTCAAGTTACAAAATTAAAGCTTATATGGTGGACATTCAAACAGTGGGACCAAACAGTTCTGTTCAGTGATCCAACAAAACTCAGTAATATCGTTGTCTACCTTATACATTTAAATATACATGCAGTTATATCGTTTGGAGCACTTTCTTTTCCTCTCTTTTGTACAATGACAATTACACATTTTGGGTTTTATTGCTCCCACAGTTCTTATTACTTTTTTTAGAAGAGAGTAAAACCAAATGTGACATAACAGAACAGAGTCGGTCAAATCAAAAGGGAGGACATAATAGATAATGTAAAAACATAATACAAGGTGATCAACAATGGTTACCATAATGCCTCCCGCTGTCTCTAATAAAATTGTCTATATCATCAGTTATAATAAAATTGAACAAAACAGAAAAGAACAAAACCAACAAAACCAAAACATTGGAGACATTACAGGTCTTCAAAAGTAGATAATAGTCAACCAGAATGGGCATCATAATGAATCCCACTGTCTTCATAGCTGTTGCCTATACTTTTGAACCTGGTACTATCAAGCAAAACAGAATAGAAGAACATCAGTCAAAACAAGATGGTGAGAGCAATGCAGGGTTTCAAATCAAGTTAATAGTAAATCAAAGTGGGTTACTATAATATATCCTGCTATTTTTTATTTACTTTTCCCTTAATTAAAAGGATAAAAATAAAAAAGTAAATAATAAAATGGAGATTGAGATAAAAGAGGGCATAACAACAAAAGAGTGCAGATCGAATCATAACCATTTAAGCAAAATAATGTTTCACCACAAGATAATCCTGACATAAAAGTAGTTACCATATTGTCTCTTTTCTTGAAATCTTTGAGTATAACTTCATATACTATAGCATCAAATATATCAAAACAATGTAAAACCATTAAAGAGAAT